CTAATAGATGAAGCTGGAAAAACTGGATCACTACATACCAAAAACTAAACATAGATCTATGTCTAGCACCATGCACTAAACTAAAGTTTAGACAGATCAGAAATCTAAGTATTGAAACAGAAACAATAATTATACTGGAAGAAAAGTAAGGTAGAAATCTTAAAAACATGCATGTAGGTAGAGAGTTGAAAAAAAATTGCATGGGAGGCACTTCACAGAATCAACAATTGGGTCTTATCTTAATAAAAAACCTTTTAAACATCAAAAGAAATCACCAACAGGGAGAAAAACAGCTCCTAGATGAGGAAAAAAATTTAATCAATTGTCCCTCAGGCAAAGAACTTCTATCTAGAACACACAAAGAATTGAGAAAATCAGAAACACTCCCCCAATTTCAAAGACTTGATTGATTCAGTAATGGGCATTGGAGATGAATATGTACTTTTCAGATGGAGAAATGCAAAGAGCCAGGCATGATGGCTCATGCCTGTAATCCCAGCACTTGGGAGGCTGAGGCAGGAGGATTGTTGCAAGTTTGAGACCAGCCTGGGCTACAAAGAGAGCTTGAACTGCATAAAGACCTTTTTGAGACCCTGTCTCAAAAAGACAAAAACAAATGCAAAGAACAAATAAATATATGAAAATATGTTCAATATCACTGGTGATTTGAGAGATGCAAATTAAAACAACACTGAGATTGCATCTCACCGCAGAAACAATGACTACCATCAAGAAATCAACCAGTAACAAATGTTGATGGGGCCCTAGGGTAAAAGGAACCCTTCTCCGCTGCTGGAGGCATTGTAGACTGGTAAAACCACTGTGGAAATCAGAATGGAGATTTCTCAAAAATCTAGGATCAGAGGTCCCATTTGATCCAGGTATTCCTTTTCTGTGTATCTTCCCAGAAGAATCATAACATCATACCACAGCAATATATGTGTCCTCATGGTTATAATGGCACAATTTTTAATAGCTAAATCTTGGAAATAATCCAAATGCTCATTAGCCAAAGAATGGATTTTTTAAGATGTAATATTTTTATATAATAGAATATTCAGCTATAAAAGGACAAACTTGAGGCTTTTATAGGAAAATGAATGCAAATTAAGACCATATACCAAGTGAAATAAGTCAGACTCACTTGTGCAAATATCATATTGTTTCCCTAGTGTAAATATCTAAAAGAGAAAATAAGATCCAAAATGTGAAAATAAATGTGAAAGAAACTTCTCAAAAAGAACAGAACTGCGAAAATAGAAAGGAGAAAAGTAAGAAGGGAAGATAGATGACTATATTACTGATCCCTCTTGATTCATCAAATAGAACAGGTTGTGCTTTCAGTGTTTCATTGTTTGATCATTTTTCATGTCTGAATGAGTAAATAAGGTAAAAAAGGCAGATTATACAGACTTTCCTCTGTTCAGATGAGTTTCATCAAGTGCACCAGTTCCACTGTCCTTGTCTCGTAGGCACACAGCAAGTCTAAATTTCCCAATCTCTTGCTATGGCTACATGCCTAGGCTGTGGCAGGAAGATGCAGGATTTAGGAATAAGTCACTTCTAGATCTTGGCCACAGAATTGCCCTCCATAATTCCATTGCCTTTTCCTCTTTTAAAAGCCATATAGTTATGCCCAAGTTACCTAGGAAATTATATTAATGAGGGCAGTTTCTAATAGTACAAACACAAGATTTTATGGAAATCCTAAAGAGACTTCAATTATATGATACTACTAAGATTCTATTATCATTCCATTAAGGCAGCAAATATTACTATTGCTGATGCAAACATATACAAAGAGACACAAATACACATACATACACATCTACACTTCTCTCAGGCTGGTTTTGATATAGACTGCAACATTTCAAAAACAAGCTTGAAATAACTTCCTCTGTTGAACAACTGATTACATTCTCTGCACAAGATAAACATCCCTGTACACATCTTACAACATTCACACTGTCACTAGTTAAGAGAAATACAGAATAGTCCACGTAAGTGCCAACTCTGGGTTCAGCTCTCACTGAGTTCAATAACATGTTTGTGTTAGTTGGCTGTATGATTTGAACAAACTATCAGAACCTCTGTGAGTTTACTTTCCTCAACTTTAAAATGATATACCACCACAAAATGGGACAGATAATCTGAGAATACAATTTCTGCTATCAGAGTACTTCACTGTGAACCCCAATTTTGCCACTTTACTAACGTGGCCAGTGATACACAGTAACAGGGAAGGTCATGGTACAAAGCTAAAGATTCAAGCTAAACACCTGCATTTACACTCTGGCTCCACCCACAGGTGTATTCACCAATGAGTTGGTAACAAGAAGCTTCAGGGTTCTGTATTACAGGTGCCCCATCCAGGGTCTTCTAACCATATTTTATATCTGTAGGTTTATGTCATGTTTCTGAAAGAGGATCCCTAATATAGTATAAATAAAAATTTGGGGATATCACAAAATCTAGATGAAAAATTGACTCCATCAGTAGTTGGTTCTGTAACATGGCTTAAACACCTATCTCTTTTCATGGGGTTGCTGTTAGGATTTGTGACTTACTTCACATAAAAATGATTAAAATTTTGCCATGCATGAGTCATGTCCTCCATGAATGCTGGTTCCACAACTTCCTTTGCTGGTTATTCTTAATTCGTTCTTTTATGAGAACTGAGCACCCTTCTGTTCACAACTGTAGCTTGTAGGGAACTTCTCTTGAGTCCTCAATTTCTTCTTTTTGTGTTTTTTATTTTATGAAAATAATTTTATTACAAAATAATAAGAGAATAACAGTAGTTAACACGCTGTATCATTATCTTCAAAGTAATTACTCAGAGTAAAAGATATAAACCAAAAAGATTATTGACATGTTTTCTGTAAGCCTCCTTAGTTGATAACAACTTAGTTTAATCAGCCACTATTAGAGCTCTTAAACCTTAAAAAAATTTTCATTGCCTTCATTGTGACAATTTTTGTCCATATTTTCCTCCACAGAGCCATCTTCTAGATTGACTTTCTCAACAAAACAATTGGCATGAAAGTGGAATTATCATCAGACTTGTCATAAATTTGGAAAGTATTGCTACACATCACTTAAAACTTGAAAAGCTATTTAGACTCCATCCTGCTTTTGAAATATTGACCTTTCAAACAAACTCAAGCTTTTAATACTGACATTTCTGTGACAAGCTGGAACACACTTAAACACATAACACAATTGCATACTGGAATTGCATCTTACCTACACTTAGTCCAATCACAGAATAATCAGCATTATCTGAAGGTTATGATTGTAAAAATTAACCACATTAAATATAAAAATATTTATAAAATATGTAGATTGGTTTACCAGCAGCCAGATATCATGCCTAGCCAAGTAGACATGAAATTAACTACCATACTATGAAATGCATACATGTACCTAAGAGTTCCTATGTATTTTCTAGGGTTCTGATGTCACAATTCTCTGCTGATTTTTAGGCTAATTAACAAGTTACCTTTAACTGATTCTCATTGTCCACTGGTATTCTGCCATATACCTCATTGGGAGTATACAGCCCTTCAAAAAGTCTTTCAATATTTTACCCGTGTGGACACAATCCAGATTCTTTGGGCTTGTTCCTTGGATAATCTCAGCTAGAATGTCCTTTTAAAAAGCTTTAAAATTATAATGTTAAAAAATGTTTATGGAGGAGGGTCAGTGTGACCAGGTCAGTGCAGCACAAAATCATTGTTTCTAAATTTAGGGAATAGAAGCAGAGTAGAAAGGATGCAACCACACCACAGCTGAAGCAGCAAGAGAAAAAGAGTTATGATACCCAACTCATAATAATTAGGATGGAGGCACAAAAGAAAAACATGCAGGAAGGAACCTTAAAACAGGCATATATAAACTGGAAAAAATATGCTGAGACTTTAATTTGGATTGCTGGCTCCAGTGATTATTGGGCAACTCCTACCAGCTAAGAGTCTGATGTCAAGGAGGGTCTTTCCGGACTTTTGTCAATGCAAAGCAAAAGTCAATCCTTAAGTCATAAGTTAAGGGGTAATTTTTAGTTAAGAGAAATAGCACAATGCCAGCGTTAGCAAGAGTGAATCTTCCTATCCTACCATGAGGAAGAGTTCTTAGATCAGAAATCACTTGGACATGTTTTGAGTTCTGTTTTAGTTTTTTTTTTTTAAGTCCATTTTATGTTGTCTTCCTCTGTGCTTTTTGCCATAAGACCAGTGTGAGATGTGACCATATGGTCACTTCAATGTAGAAAGAAATAGAGATATTGGTATCTAAAAGTCTAATTTGGAAGTGCCAGGTATGTAGATGGACTGCCTAGAATTGAAATATTAGCCTCCTGCAATCGAAATTTAGTACTGTCGCGTGCCTTGGTCATCAGCAGATTGTACTATTCTATGGGGCATTCAAAAGGATTCAGTAACCACAAACACCTTCACGTTTCCATCCCATACTCAACTGTACCCTGCTACAGACACAGCAGCCTGGCTCTTCAGTTCAGAGGCCCTCATACATTTATGACTAAAAACCTCTATTTAGTAACATATCCTCTCAGCCTTACACCAAGATGACCAAAAAAACGTGCTTTAGAGTTAAAACTTGAAATCTCCTGCCATGGTTGGTTCACTGCCTGCAGAGACAGTGGCTGAAGCTAAGGCTGCAAACAGCAAGACTGATGGGTATATAATGTGGAAAAAGAAAAACATATCTGTTACCCAGAAGACAATCACTTTGAGAAGTTCTGATACTGAGAAAATAAGGAAGGATCTCTCTCCCTGATTCTAACAGTCTAGTTGAAAGTTCATATTTTTTCCATATAAAAACAAACCAAGTCAACAAGGAAAGATCATGAGTAGGAAAATGATTGGGTGATTCCCCTAATGGATCAATCTGACAGCTCTTCCTCTTCCTTGATCTGCATATAAGAACTGCACTGGCACCTAAGGCACCACCGTCCCTGGACGTTACCTTCTGAATCTTCCAGCATGCTCACCTTCCAGTTCCTGTTCAGAGCCAGCCCTGCCACCCTGCTCCTTACTCTGTACCTGCAGCTGGGGGTCATCACAGCCCAGGAAGACACGTGAGCCAAACCCTTCTTCTTCCTATAGAAAATCCACTAGGAGGACTCTGTTCCTAACCAAGAAATCAACATGCACCTTGGAAATTCTTGAAGTTTTTCAGGCATCTTGTCTCTGAGCTCTCCTGATTTCATGGTGGATTTCATATTTCTGTTCAAGGAAGCCCCATTAACCCCCTACATATTTCCACTGGGGGCTTCTAGGTTACCTGTAGTAAAAGTTTTACCAAGGACACAGAAGCTGTAATTAATAATTAGTCTTTCTCCAAGTTAGGTGTAGTAACTCACACCTACTATGCCAGCATTCTGGAATATAAATCAGGGAAATCACCAAGAATTCTAGGCCAGCCTATGCTACACAGTGAGTTCAAGACAGGCTTTACGATATAGCAAAATCCTGTATCTAAAAACAAATTAATTGTACTCTTTGCCTCTGAACTACAGACCACCCTCAAGTACTTTGTTAAGAGTTTTGCTTCACAAAGTTTACCATTTCAAACTGTGGCTTACACAAGAGGAGATGCAGAGGTCTGGGAGTCCTATCAACAGCTTTGTGCGGCATGGACAGGACTCACCGAAGGACTCATATCATCATGTTATGTTATGAGGATGATGTAGCCTGTATGTACCTGACACAATATTTTTCCTTAAGTCAAAAGATGAATATTAGGGCTTCTGACACACTGAGACTCAGGAGCACGGGTTCACAAATCAATGTACTGAGTGTTCCAGTTTGAAGGCAGAGGAAGAGTACAGAACATTTAGGGTACTGTATTTTAATTATTTTTTAAATTTTATTTAAAGAGAAAAAGAATAGAAATAATACAGAATTTCAAAAAATAAACTAAGAAATCACTAATTGATAAATTACATACTGTAATCTTAAAAATAGTTATTCAAGTTACAAAATTAAAGCATACAAAGTGGACATTCAAACAGTGAGTCTGTGAACAGTTCTGTTCAATGATCCAATAAAAACTTAGTAATATGGCTATCTATCTTCCACACTTTAACATACATGCAGTTATATCCTTTTTTTTTTTTTACAATAGCAATTACAAATTTTGGGTTTTGTTACTCCTACAGTTCTTGTTACTGTTTACACTAGAGACACAATGTGATATTTATAAATATGATTGTTATTTATTTCACTTGTGAGGATACTCTCAAGTTGCCTCCAATTACCTATAAAGGCCTCAATATCCTCCTTTTTTATAGCTGAGTAATATTCCATTGTATAAAAATACCACATCTTTTTCATCCACTCTGCAATTGATGGGTATTTTGGTTGTTTCCAAGATTTAGCTATCACAAACTGTGCTGCTATGAACATGGGTGCACATATATCACTGTGACATGACCTTTTTGGTTTTTCTGGGAAAATACTCAGGAGGGGAATAGTTGGATTGAATGGAACTTTCAATCCTAATCTTCTAAGAATTCTCTATAGTGATTTCCATAGTGGATGCACCAGTCTACACTCCCACTAACAATGCAGCAGTGTTTCTTTTTCCCTGAAGCCTCACTAACATTTGTTATCAGAAGTTTTCTTGATGGCAGCTATTCTTTCCAGAGTGAAATGAAATCTCAAAGCATTTTAGTTTGCATTTCTTGAATGACCAGTGATGGTGAACATTTCTTCATGTATTTATTAGCAATTTGTATATCTTCATCTGAGAACTGTGTTTTCATCTCAGATGCCCATTTTTGGAGATGGTCTTTGAATTTAGGGGGAGCGGCTTGATGGTTTTCAATTCTTTATATGTTCTGGATATAAATCCTTTGTCTGAGGGGTTGCTGGCTAAAATTTTTTCCCTTTCTGTGGGTTTTCTTTTCACTCTGTTGGTGATTTCTTTTGAAGTGCAGAAACTTTTCAATAATATGAGATTCCAGTTGCTGATTCTTTGAAGCGTTTCCCGTGCAATTTGCATTTAGTTCATGAATTGTCTGCCTACATCATGTCTCCAAGATTTCTACCTATCTTGTCTTTCAGTAAATTTAATACTGTTTTAATACTGTTTTAATACTTAGATCTTTGATCCATTTAGATTTTAGTTTTGTGCATGGTGATAGGCATGGATCTAGTTTCAGTCTTCAGCAGGTGGAGAGCCAATTCCAGCACCATTTATTAAAGAGGCTATCCTTCTTCCAGTGAATGTGTTCAGTCCCTCTGTCAAATATCAGGTGGCTGAGTGTCTTTGTAGTTGTGTTTGCGCCTTCTAATCTGTTTCACTGATCCTCAGATCTATTTATTTGCCATGTACTTTAATTCTTTTTACTACTTTTGTGTTTAAATTTTTGTCAATAGAAAAAAATGCAACTCCTTAGTTTTCAATGACACTAAACCTACACAAAACATCCAAATCAAACAGCACATCTAAGTGCTTGGAGAATCTGATACTGAGACATATCACCCTCTCTCTGGCACTGTCGCTATCTTTCCTGCCACCTTATGTTTTCCACCCTTCCCCGTGAACAGGTCTCTGATCTCTCTGTCCTCTCTTTCTCCTTCCAAAACCAGTCGAAGAACAATAATACTCAGTACAGAGCTGCCACAAGAAGTAACAGCCAACGAATTGACCACCTTGAAGCTTAAAGTTGAGACAGAATTGAGAGAATGTATGGTGGTAAGTAGTGGCTTTGGGGACTGACCTGAAGGTACATCTAACTACAAAGCAAATCTAAATCCTTTATTGTGAATGCAGTATAATCAAATTCTCACTTTAATATTTCATAATATGCTTAATAAAATATTCTCATATATGTTATATCACAGCATCAAAACAATTCTGAAAGCTTATGGAAGTTGACTATTTTTGTCTTCAGATGAAGAAACTCTGGTTTGGGAAGGTTCAGAGAGGATGAGAAAGAGAGAAATAATGAAAAGGAAGTGAAATAAAAGGAGAAAAGATTTAAGTGCTGGCAGAGTATTGGTAGACGTTTCTCGTGGATCTGAGCATAGTGCACATGGCATGGGGTTTGTCTAGGGTTTACTCAAAAGAACACACTACAACCCAGTGTAGGATATTAAAGGAGTGACAAAGATCTGCAGTCTCTGATGCATCCTGTCCCATAAACTTTGCAATGAATCTGACTTTCTGATACCTTTTTCTGCCCTTTTTCTTTGTCCCTCCAGTAGCTAACTTTTGTCCAGGCCTGTTCTGTCCCATAAGGTACTACCTGCTTCTCTTTCTTTGCATAGCTCAGCAATTATCAAAGAGAAGTTGAATCTCTAAGATACACCAGAGGTTTTCAAACCATGGTGCACCTAAACCTAACCAGCTCGTCTGATCAGATGGCAAAATATGATTCAACACTCTGGGAGAACTAAGCTTCTGCATATGTAACTAACTCCCAGGGCACGTGGAAGGTCTTTTCATGAGTGCATTCTTTGAGCAGCTTGAGGTTAGAGCATTACATTATTACAAGTTTCCCAATAACGAGTGAGATTTAAGGATAGCAGTTAAGCAGGAAACAAAGTTGGGAATGTGAAGACACCTCTTCATTTAAACGCATCCTAAAAATGCCCCCACACATTTAAGAGTATAATTCTTGATCATTAAGCAAAGAATATCCCAGGTGCCTTGTCAAATTTTTGTTTGCCATCCATATATCTGAACCATGCATGTTGTCTTGGGTTAGAAGAGAGACTAGTTTAAAGTTTTTCAACTTTGTGTTTTGTTTATTATTACCAGAGATGACAGTGTAGAAAACATGTATATGTTGCATATGATCAATAATTGTCATAACAATAGTTTCTGGGTGACTGATAAATAATGGATTTACACTTGACTCCTGATATAAAATGTATAAAATGTATTCAAATATAAGCTGTATAAAATGTATTCAAATTAACATAATGTCATATAATAGTATAATCAATAAAACTAAATCTTGAGTATTTCTGATACAATAACATACATTGAACTTTTAAAAATCCACCTAAATCCAGATAAAAATCTCTGATCTGCATCAGTGAATTGCAAACCAAAAAGAATTTGTGTAAGAGGAAATTTTGCTAACTTTACTCAGCCAAATTCATTTGTAGCTTCCAATAAAATATAAATACAGAGCTTTTAAACATTTTCACATTTAAAACTCTTTGGAAAATATAACTTGTTCATTAGCTTAAATTTTCTACCTTATTTTCCACCTTATTTTCTATCACATACAATGGTTTTCCAAATAAAATTCTGTTAAAATGAAACCCTAGACTCATACTCCTTTTAGAGTTAAAACATAATGCATTATGTCTATAATTACATACTTAAATATAAAAATTGTATAATACTTTAAAGCTTAAAAAAGCATTTGATTAGCCAGAGTGATTAAACATTTTTTAATATGGACCCTCTTATGGGTCTTATAAAGTTTTTGGCACCTGTCAGAAAAAGATGCTTTGAAATGCATAATGTGCATTAGATTAGTTGTGAAATTAAATACTGAATAATAAGGTTAAATTAAATAAGTTAAACTTGCAAAATAATAATGTATGTGTTTATTGATCCATTGGCTGCAGAAACAATACATTTAAACTCCAAAAAGTTCATTTTCATCTTGTGCAGACATGATCTGTGATGGCCGCTGCAGCAATACAGCAAACAGCAAAGGGAGGAATGATAATACAAGGATAGGTTGTCCTACACTCCAGGGCTCTCCAAAGAATTCTGAGTAGCACCCAAAGGTGAGAACATTGGAATTTCTTGTGAGGCTAAGGATTACTCAATGCAGAATTTCCAGATAAATGAGCAAGTTTCTGGAATGGGCAGGTGGTAGGTGGCCTCAGTCATTCACACCCAGCCACTCTGATAACTCCTACATGTTCAGGGCAGTGATGATTGCAGGCAACATTTTTAGGACATGTTAATCAGTCAAGTGTGGTAAACCATTTTCTTCATCCTTGTTATAAAATCACATACTGAGCTGATGATAGATCAAAATTTCTTTCCATCTGGATTTACACAAAGAGACATATTTATTCACAAGTCTCTCTGAGTTGACATACCCCAGACTAAAAGCCCTCAATTAGCATTAAATAGGTTTTGAAAACAATACATAGAATATTAAGTTGCAGAATACTCTAAATTGAAAAGGAAAAATAAAGGGAGGAAATTTACCCTCCAGATTTCCTTTTCTAATCTAATAGTCAGGCTTGTGACTTAACTGCAATTCACAGTGAACTGAGGTAGCAGTGGGAAAAGTAACTTTAACCATCAAAGGTCGCAAAGTTACCAGGGAACACAGTGGGGCCTAGTCAAGTATAACAGAGGCCTGACCCTTGTGTCTGTTCCCAGAGAGCCAGAATACCATCTCAGCATTCACAAAATACAATATCATGCAGGTCATCTCCCAGAATCCCATTGATAATGAAGGCCAGTCTGCTACTAGATGGACTGCCAACCAGGAGTGAAGTCTTATGACTTTACCTACATCTTCCTGTACCCTCCCAAGTCTCATGCTCACATTTCTCAGGGGTCAGTTGGTGTACAGGGGGAAAGAGAAGCTGACATCACTAACATGGGCTCCTCAATAGCTCTGACCCATCTCTGAATTTTTCCTCTCTTGTCTTTCTTCTCTCTCACATTCATCAGGCTAACATTGAATCTTCTCCTCTCACCAGATTAAAGCTTACCTCGTAAGCAGCAAGCCATTAGCAGGTCCCTTCAACTATAAATACACTGGCTGCCTCTGCAGTGATTACCCAAGAACCTTCTACTGGGACTTCCAGACCAACAGTGAGTACATGCATTATCTAAAGAAGGGGGCCACCATAAGGGAGGAAAAAGCAGAAACAGAACAGTCATATGAAAAACCTGAGGGTTAGAAGAAGAGAAATCTGAGGATCTGAAAGAATAAAGCCCAGGTACTAAAGGGAAGCACTGCATGATAAAAGCTAAGAAAGGTGGTAATTATGAAATGAAAAATCAAAAAAATTAAAACCAACTGGGTGAGTATCTAATCCCAGCAAAAAAACAGAGGACCCTGAAGAGTGTGTGAGGTGATCTTTGTGCTCCTCTCTTCCAGGCACTGTAAGAATTGCAACAGTGGTTGACATTATTCGGGAGCTGAATATCTGCCCTGATGATCAAGCAGTGGTACCCATAAAATCAAATCGATATTATGCTATAACTGACCTGACTGTAAATTAATGGAAACCCTTGTGTGTCTCACAATGCCCATGCAGTTTCTTCCAAGTAAGCATGATTGGTGAATCTGGTGCAGGTCTAAAATAAACTTCCCATAAGCTTCCTGTATTGTTGTACTTCTCTCCAAAATCTGTCCTAAAATCCTGCCTAGTATACCAAATTTCTATACTGACAAATCTCTTTCCAAAAACAGTTTACACTGACACTTGCTTTGTAATGCCCTTAAAACAGTTTATTTCATGTGCTGTACTTGCAGAAGTCTGTAAGAAAAAGAGATGAGACGTGAATTTAAACAGGCTAAATCTGTAGGGCAAAAGTCCACCAGATTTAAACCCAAATCTAAGAAGCTTCTCTACAACCAAATCTAGGAAGTTATTACATAATCGTGGGTATGAATGGGGAACATTTGTTCAGTATGCATAAAAACCTTTTGTAGCAATATTTCTAAAGAATACTATCCCTGAGATAAAGTCAGCCCTCCAATTTATTTTTTTTATTTAAAGAAAAGGAAACAAAAGAATACATGGAGATAAAAAAAAAAGGGTAGAAATAATACAAACTTACAGAAAAACAAACGGTAAGAAATTGCTGGTTGATAAGTTACACATTGTCATCTTAGAAATAGCTGTTCATGTTATAGAATTAAAGTATTTAGAATGACATTCATAAAGTGACACTACAAACCCTTCTGCTCTATGATCGAACAAGAGCTCAGTAATATGGTTATCAGTCCTACACATTTGTTTTACATCTCAAAGAGGGTAAGATTAAACATATCAAAACAGAACAAAGCAGTTAAAAAAACAATTTAAAGAAATACAGATTTCGCAGCAAGCCCACTGGAGATCTTCATTGTCTATCTAACTGTCTCTAGTTTCTTACAAATAGTTGTCCCCATCTTCACCCACTTTATATACTTATTGTATATTATAGAACTAATCAAATCACTGGACGCTTTTTAGGAAAGGGAAGACAATAGTAACTACCATCGCATCTCTCATTCTCTTCGTGATAGCTGTCCCCATCTCTACATATGCTGAAATTGAACTCAAGAAACCAGTCCAATGTCATTCTAATCAGCGAACATTAGTATTGGTAAAATTTCTATCATAATGCTACAAAATTAGCCTCGGGTTTCTTAGTGTCTCTTCCTCAGAGTATCTGTTCATTACATCTTGCATTATATAATCTGTTCCCGTAAATAATTAAAAAGAAAAAAAAAACCCATGTGTGAATTTCTACATATATATCTATCCTCTCTGTATTACAGGGAATACCAAGTCATAGCAAGACAGCAAAACAATTTCCTAGAAAAAACATGCAATGGATAAGACATATAAGACCACAATATAGATGATCTTCCATAGTTACTATGTTTTCTCTTGTTATTTTCAAAAGATTTGACCACCACACCGGCTTATTATAGTTAAATATAGTATCACCTATTTTTATAAAAACTTAACTTTGACAGCATTGTAGGATTTGAGAGCTGTTACTAATTAATACCAGTATGGATATCCTTTACATCTTGTCATCCTCAGAGTAGTTGCCTCTACTTTTAGGGTTGATACTAACAAGCATACCAAATTCAAATAAAATCAGCCATGGCCAACCCATAGTCTTATGATTCAGATTCAATTAAGATCAGTCATAGTAAGATGATGTAAGTATTGTAGGATTTCAGTTTAAGTTAATAGGAAAGTAAGGATAGTTACCATGGTATAACCTGCTATTTTGGGGTCAAGATGTCTGTGGCCTCAAATCTGACATGAGTGGACAGACCAGTATATATTAAATTCAAACTAAATATGTCAATAAGACTACTATGTCTTTTAAATCCTTATACACCATTAACAATGACCTCTGCCTTTTTCTTTTTTTATATAGAGTTTCAGCACTGTCTATACTAAAGACTATAGCTTACCATCTCTGCCTCATGTCTGCTACTCCATTTTTCTGCTATAATTTGTCCACCTTATTCCCTCATTCCACTGTCTGCCCCGTTCACTGAGGCCTCTCTGCCACTGTTGCTGGAATCCTGGTATCTCTTCCTCTCTTTCTCTGTAATGTCCTTCAGCACTCTCTGTAGGGTTGGATTGGTGGCCATGAACTCCCACCATTCCTCCTTGCCTTGAAAATATCTTATTTTTCCATTAATTTTGAGAGAGAGTTTTGATGGGTATATGAGCTTCGGTTGCATATCATTTTCTTTCAGGACTTGGAATATTTCTCCCCACTCCCTTCTTGACTTAAGAGTTTGTGTTGATAAGTCTGATGTTATTTTGATAGTTTTCCCATTGTAGGTAATCTGCATCTTTTCTCTGGCTGCTTTTAATATTCTGTTCTTTTGGTGGATTTCTGGAATCTTGATTATTATATGTCTAGGCACAGATCTGTTTTGGTTGTAGGTAGCTGGTGTTCTGTATGCCTCTTTTATCTGGATATCATTTCTTTTTGCTATATATGGGAAATTTTGCTTTAATATATCTGTGAATATTCTTTGTATTTCATTTTTGGTTGCTCCTGCTTCCTTACTCACATTCTTTATTCTTAAGTTATGTATCTTTTTGTCATCTTCTAGTTTTTGAATTGCTTCTTTCTGGTTCCTTGTTATTTTTAAGAGGCTTTTTCTTTCACAATCATATGCCATAAATCTCTCTTCAAGTTTCAGAAGGCTGTCTTTAGTTTCTTTCAAGGCATTTTGCCAGTGTTCAATGGAGTTTTTAGTTTCCTAGTATTCTCTTTGGATCTGTTTCATGCATTCTAAGTTATGTTTAAATTCTTCTTCAGAAGTTTCTCTTTCTTTTCTGATTTCCTCAGTTCTTCCATCTGTGTTCTCTTGGGCAGGGCTTGTCATTTCTTTAATTAATCTCTTTATATCTTGTCTCACTTGAATCAGGAGTACAGCTTTAAATTCATCTATGAGATCATGAAGGTACTTTTTAATTTTGGCTGATGCTGTGTCGAGCAATGGATGGTTACTGTGCTTGTTCTCTTTGGTGTTTACTTCTCCTGGGCTTATTTTCTCATGTTGGGCAGCTGGAGATTTTTTTTTTTTTATCTCTTGTCATGTTTCTGGTTTCTTTCAGACTGTCCTGGGGTTCTCTGGCCCTCTCCAAATTGCTTAGGGCCTTTCAAAAGCGTGCTGACTTGAGTTTTTGCTGTCCTCCCCAATTTGCTGTTATCTGGGGTAGGCTGGGATGCAGGGGCGATACAGGCTAGTCTCCAGCCTCTGCGCCAGTCAACCGATAAATTAGGCTGTTCTTTCTGGATGTCACTGAGTTGTGACTATTTTGTATCTGCTTGTTGGGCCCCAAGCAGAGGCCTGGTTTAGCCCCAGTAGCTCCTGCCGGTTCTCTTTGTACCAGAAGCAGCTGACTAATGTTACTATGGCACAGGGTCCTGCCCAAATCCCAGCTTTTCTCTTCCAGACCTCTCTGTGACAGGAGCACCAGAACAGCAGAACTGCCCAAATTCAAGATGTCTCCCACTAGTTCTCTGTATGACACTGAAGCCAACATGTACTCAGGCTCTGCCCAATTTCAAGATGCCTTCCACCAGCCCTCCCTACAAGGGGACTCAGTGATGCCACCGAGCTGTAGGTTCTGCCAAACTGTAAGATGGCTGCCACCAGACTCTGTGTTATTGATGTCCCTGTGGTGGCGGGCACTGCCCAGTTCCAAGACGTTCTCTGGCCAACCCCAGCAGCCGCGGGGTTCCCAGTACTCACCAGGGTCCACGCCGCCCACCTTTCCCACGCTCCTGGCACAGTGCAGAAGGGTCAGAAATCCACGCAGTGTGCATTCCTGGTACAGCGCGGAAGGGTCAGAAATCCGTGCAGCGTGCACTCCCAGTACAGGGCGGAATGGTCAGAAACCTGCGTGGCGTGCACTCCTGGCACAGCGTGGAAGGGTCAGAAATCTGCGCAGCGTGCACTCCCGGCACCGCGCAACGGTCAGAAATGTGCTCAGCGTTCGGCTTTGGAGGTCGAGAGCCTTTCACCATCTCCTCTGGTGCAGTGGGGCAGTCCTGGCTGCTTCTCAGGATCTCAGGTCTCAGTTTCCAGCAGTCACCAAAAGCCAACACAGCTTTTCCTGTTGGGTCCACAGGTCAAATTGTTGATTTAAAGGTGCGGGATTTGCAGCCTCCCATTTTCAGCCTTCACAGTCTCGCACAACTTTAAATCCTCCAGCTGCACTGTCTTGGTTAATAAGAATCGTTATCCATTTGTCTGGCCCTCTCCATGTTGTCATATTCTAGCTTCTAATATGATTTCTCCAGAGAGACTCTCCGCCTGTTCCCCTAGCAAGCCGCCATTTTCTGTCTCCCCAACCCTCCAATTTAAAAGAGAGAGGTATAATATTTTCCATTGCAGCCATGGAATCTGTGTCTTAATGTATTTAAGTGATAAAGTAACAAAAGTGTCACTTAAATAAGAGACTACCACATCGTGGTCCACCATACAGAAGTAAGGACACAATTTTTTCCCATCATGCCTATCTTGATCTCATCACTGGGAGTCTGGAGTCAGAGCAGAACCCAGAAAAGCTTGTAGATTTTCTCACACAACTATATGTATATGTAGTATGTACATGTATATTTTTAAAATGCTGTTTAAGACTTAAAGAGGCAGGTGTTTTTCCTTTTTGTGTACCTGAGAGACACAGAGAAAGACTTTTTGTAATAACTGAGCAGTTTCTTCCATTGACACCTGCAGTTACCATGAACACTTTGAGGCACTGTTCTCACCATTGCATGTGCCTTGGTAGATAAATTGTGTCAATTTAAGAAATTTAGAAACTTAACTAAGTGACTTATCAGGGGGTTCAGGGTCTTTACTTTGTAAGCGTCCTGAGCCTGTGCAAAAGGAGGGTATGGAGATAGTGTGGGCAAGTAACCTGCATACAATATAAAGGAGAAAAAGAGATTTGACTTCACATACTCACACCTTTTGCTCTTGTTGCTTTGCTGTCTACTGCCACCTTGAATGGTTGCCCCTGTGCCATGCCACCCAACTTTGGAACCAGGTGTTATGGACTGAAACATCCACAAATTATGAACTAAATAAGCTTTCCTTCCTTAATTTTTGGTACTGGGTGTTTTGTCTCAGTAATTAGAGAAAAGTAACAATGACAGAATTTAGTACCAGAGAAGTGATGTTACTGTGACTATATCTGGCTATGTGTATCAAGAGATCTTGAAAATGGCTCATGGAAAGAGTTTGTAAAGGTTTGAAGATGTAGGGTAAAATAATAGAGCAGGGATGCCTTAGGCCATTCTATATGGAAGATTCTTGTCAGAGGTCAGAAGGCAAGATAGCTGATAGAAATCCCGCCAGCAAAGACCAATTCAGGAAGTTTCTGTTGGGACGAAGGACTGCATTAGCTGTTGAAGTCTAGACAACGTGTGCTATGACAACGTTGGCAGATAGTTTGTCTGCATTTTGCCTGTGTCCAGAGACTTTGCCCAAAACAGAGAAAAAGGGTAGCCAGCTAATTAACATGTCAGAAAGAATTTCAAGTAGTCAAATGTTGAGGTAGTGGCATGGCTCTCATTGGGGGCTTTGAGCCAGACTTATGTTGAGAATCAAGAGCAAAGAGGCCAGCAGGATGATTTAAAATGTTGTGAGTTTGGGCAGAAAAGAAGCCCCAGCAAAGCTGTGGACTACAAAGACAGAGCTGAGGAGATCTCAATTGCTGAGGAGGAACAGGAGAATAGAAAAATGACCTGAGGGAATCACAAGAAGCAATTAGTATTCACCCTTTGAAGTCTCAAAATTCAACAGTGAAAGACTTTGCTTTGAGAAGAAAGTCACAGAACACCATGTCCCAGAATGGTAGCAGCTGTACCATGTTCAAGAATGATGGCAGCATAGAAACTGTGTTCCTTAGAATTGGGTTCACAGTGTCCAGCAATCCAAATTCTCAACTCCTATAGCCAAAAGAGAAGAAAGCCTGAATACTGTTCCAGTTGGTAGCAGACACTGACATCTTCCACATGGTGTTGGGTTCAGGTGCACACAGAATGCAAGCATAGCAGAGTTAAGGTTTCCATCTCAATTTCAGAAGGCCTAGGATTCCAGGCAGTGTGCCCCTGAAAAAGCAGTGAGTGAAGCTGTGAGGGTGAAGCCAAAGGTGCAATGGAGACCCTAGAAGTTTGAAGAAGCCAGGAAAGTGGATTATCTAAGTAAAGCTGAAAGAAAGGAGCAAAATGGGCATAAGAGAGAAGCCATGGTATCTATAACCACCAGAAGTGTCATAGGGATAGAGCCACCAAAGCCCTTTGGAGCTCACAATTTGCCACAGATTGCTTGAGGTACTTGTTGTAGTCAGGGGTTGTGAGCTGAAAAATTAAAATCAGGCCACAGAATTTATAATATTATGATTGTCACCCAGAGTTTAACACAAAAAAGTGCAAGAAATGTGTCCATAACACTAAAGACCCAGAATATTCATCTAAAGGCCTGGATGCCACAATAGTGTCCTGCATAAGTCCAGATGATGATAAGGCCATGACAATGCCTCCCAGGAGTCCAAGGGGTGGAGGAACTGTGCTGGTAGGTTGAGGATTCTACACTGGAGCAGAGAAGTCATGTTCATAATAAAATCCAGCACTGTCCTGAAGAGTACTACAGTCATCTTCAGCAACATGGAGGTCCCAAGCTCCTCCAATGGTAAGAACACACAAGTACATGCCTGAAAGCCACCATGAGGAGTTCGTCCTGGGGATTAGGCAGCACACATCTTCACCTAGAAACAAGAAGTGATGCTCAATGTAAGGACCAGAGCTCCCCCAAAGTGAACCACAGCCACCCTGACTAACAAGGTCCCAAGCTTCTCCAATGACAATGGTCAAACTCACATTGAGGAGGCTAATCATGATGAGCTCCTCCATGAGAAACAATGGCTCAAACAGCAACACACAGGAGAACACACAACACCTCCCTTCTCCTTCTCCATGTCTTTATTTATGCTGGCAACTTTCCTCAGGTGGAAAATCTACACTCAGCACCATGCTGATTTAATTAAGCTGGCATTAAATTGACCACCAGTTTTTAATCCATAACAGTGCTTAAGTTTACGCTGATGGGTTTTGAATTTGCCTTGGTCCCAAACCTTTGCATCCCATTGTTTGCATCTTATGAAATGAAAATGATTGTCCTGCACCCCTGAAAGTTGGAAGTGTTTAACTTTTCATTTTTACAAGGGTTTGTAGCCTACAGTTTCCCTTAAATCTCAGAGACTTGATACTTTGACTTTCAGCAATGCTGAAACAGTTACTTTGGCAACTCTGGCAGATGGACTAAATCCCTTTTGCATAAAAGGATATGCGAGGGAGGGATCACAGGTTCCAGAGGCACTGTGGCCTGCGGTGAGTGCTCAGCACACTCTGCCCAAATCCCAGACTGTTCCGGACCCTCCAGGCTTCCGGGTGCAGTGAAGTGGAGAAGTGGGTTTGAGGCCTCTACATCTGCCTCCTCATCCCGGATGCACTTGGAGAACTGCTGAGCTTCCAACGGGTGGGTGGGCCCATGCTATCCCCCAGAACCCAGCCTGTTTGGGCCTCCAGCACCTAGCCATCGGTGTGCAGAGGAGGGGCTGGGCGGATCTGGGGCACCTGCATTGGCCTCCCCGTGTGTCTGGAGGACTGTGGATGTCTCAGCGGGCAGTGGAGCATCGCAGGTTCCGGAGGCCCTGCAGCCTGCGGTGAGTGCTCAGCGCACTCTGTCCAGAGTCCAGACTGCTTGGGTCCCTCCAGGCTTCCAGGTGCAGTGAAGTGGAGAGGCGGTTTTAGGCGTCTACATCTGCCTCCACATCCCAGCTGCAATTGGAGAGCTGTGGAGCTTCCAACGGGCAGGTGGGCGCACAGTGTCCCTGAGGCCCAACTTGTCTGGAACTGCGGAGTTCTGAGCAGGCAGAGGAGGGCCATTGGTTCTGCAGGCCCAGTGGCTTGGGGTAGCATGGTGCCAGAGTCTCAGTAGCTACAAATATAGAAGGGGATTTCCAACAGATCCTGAGGAAGCTTTCAAATAACACTTGAAACACAGAAATATAGGAAAATGACAAAACAAAAGACCAAATTACAACCTCAAACCTCCAGCCCATCTCAAGAAACCCTAGGAGCAATGTATACAGAAGAAAATATATGCAATTCACCTCAAGTATCGGACACAATAGCTACTGAAATTAACAAGCAACTCCAGGAAGCTTTAAAGAAATTCAAACTCGAAATAATCTCCAAGGTAAAAGAAGAAATGATAAAAGAAATGAAAGAGATTCTGAATATATCTAAAGAAAACACAGATAAAAAGTTGGAGAAACTAAACAAAAAGATAGAATCCCTAGATGAGCAATATAAGAAACAAACAGAATACATAATGCAGATGCACAGAGATATACAGGAAATAAAAAACTCCACTGAAAGTTGTAAAAACCGCCTTAACGAAAGTGAAGATAGAATTTCAGACCTTGAAGACAGGTTTGCAGCTAGTGAACAGGAAAGGAAAGATCTTTTCAAAATAACAAGGAATCGGGAAACAACAATTCAACAACTGCAGGACGATGCAAAGAAAAATAACATAAGAATGATAGGGATTAATGAAAAAGAAGGAGACAACATAGAGGATGTCAAGAGGATATTTAGAGAAGTAATAGCTGAAAATTTCCCAAGCACAAGATCAGAAACCGACATCAGGATCAGTGAAGCATATAGAACTCCAAATAGTCATAACCAAAATAAAACTACACCCAGACATATAATAATCACCATCCCAGAAATCCAACACAAGAATAGATTATTAAAAGCTGTCAGAGAGAAAAGACAGATCACTTATAAAGGAAAACCTATCAGAATCATGGCAGACTTCTCAGCACAAACAATAAAGTCAAGAAGAGCATGAAGTGCAGTATTCCAGATCCTAAAGCAAAATGATTTCAAACCTAGACTGATGCATCCTGCAAAACTATCATTCAAAATTGATGGTGAAATACGATACTTCCATGACAAAGAACAGCTGAAGAACTTCATGAACACCAAACCAACCCTGCAAAAAATATTGAAAGACAGTTTAGATACACAAAGGAAAAAACCACTAAGCAAAGCAAATAATTAAACAGAACATAAGATAAAGATGCAACAGCAGAGAGATAACATGTCAACAATAAACCAGCATTTAACAGTAATAACCATTAATGTAAATGGTCTCAATGCACCAATCAAAAGAAACAGACTAGCAGAATGGATCAAGAAACAAAATCCAACATAGGCAGTTTACAGGAAACCCACCTAACCAAGATGGATACTCACAGACTGAAAGTCAAAGGATGGGAAACAATACTTCATGCAGCAGGAATCAAAAAAAAGCAGGAGTAGCCGTTTGTTTGCAGACAACGTGAACTTTAAACCAACAATGACCATAAAGGACAAAGAAGGTCACTACATACTCGTAAGGGGAAAACTCCAAGAGGAAGAGATAACTATCTTAAATATATATGCACCAAACTACAGAGCACCCAGTTATATAAAACAACTATTAACAGAAATGAAAACTCAAATTATCAGTAACACAATTGTAACAGGAGACCTTAATACACCATTGACACCAAGGGACAGATCAACCAGACATAAAATGAGCAAACAAATAATAAAACTGAATCACACCTGCGAAAAATGGATTTGATAGACATATACAGAATGTTCTACCCAACAACATCAGAATATACATTCTTCTCAGCAGTACATGGATCATTCTCTAAAACAGACCATATATTAGAGCTCACAGAACATATTAAAACAAATGCAAAAGAGTTGAAATCATCCCTTGCATGTTATCGGATCATAGCGCTCTGAAATTAGAAATTAATGATAAAAGATACTGCAAAAATCCTGCAAACACATGGAAACTGATTAACACACTCTTGAGTAATCAGTGGGTCACAGAAGAAATTAAAGAAGAAATTAAACAATACTTAAAAGAAAATGAAAATGCAGATACAACTTACCGGAATCTGTGGGATGCAATGAAAGCCGTCCTCAGAGGAAAATTTATTGCACTGAGTTCCCACATCAGGAAAACAGAACGAATACAAATAAATAACTTGATGCTACACCTCAAACAGCGAGAAAAAGAAGAGCAAGTCAAGCCCAAAGCCAAAAGAAGAGAGGAAATTATAAAAATCAGAGCAGAAATCAATGCAATAGAGACTAAGAAAACAATCCAAAGAATCAACGAATCAAAGAGTTGGTTCTTTGAAAGAATAAATAAAATCGATAAGCCCATAGCCGACCTTATTTTAAAAAGGGAAGAAAAAGCTCAAATTCATGCAATAAGAAATGAAAAAGTTGAAATCACTACAGACCCAATAGAAATACAGAAGATCATCAACACCTATTTCGAAAACCTCTACTCTCGAAAGTTTGATAACACAGAAGAAATAGATTCTTAGAAACATATGAAGTACAAAAGCTAGATCAAGAGGATGTAAACCTGTTGAATAACCCAATCTCTGTTAATGAAATTGAAAACATAATTAAATCCTTACCCACCAAGAAGAGCCAAGGCCCAGATAGATTCACTGCAGAATTCTACAAGAAATACAAAGAAGACCTAATGCCGACACTCCTCAATAGTGCCGACACTATTCAATGAAACTGAAAGGGAAGCAATCCTTCCTAAGTCATTCCTGGAAGCAAATATTACTCTAGTACCAAAACCTGAGAAAGACCCAACTATAAAAGAGAACTATAGACCGATCTCCCTAATGAACACAGATGCAAAAATCCTCAATAAAATATTGGCAAATAGGATCCAGCAAATCATCAAGAAGATTAAACACCATGACCAAGTGGGATTCATCCCAGGAATGCAAGGATGGTTCAACATATGCAAATCAATAAATGTAATCCACCATATCAATAAAGCCAAAAATAAGAATCACATGATCATTTCTATAGATGCAGAAAAAGCCTTCGATAAGGTCCAACATTTATTCATGATAAGAACTTTACAGAAAATTGGAATAGATGGTCTTTACCTCAATATAATAAAGGCCATTTATGACAAACCAACAGCCAGCATCATACTAAATGGCCAAAAATTGAAAGCCTTTACTTTAAAATCAGGCACAAGACAAGGATGCCCTTTATCACCACTCCTATTTAATATAGTACTGGAAGTACTAGCCAGAGCAATTAGGCAAGAGAGAGAAATAAAAGGGGTAAAGATAGGAAAAGAAGAAGTTAAATTATCATTGTTTGCAGATGACATGATACTCTACATAGAAGACCCCCTAAACTCCATGGAAAGACTCTTAGATACAATAAATGAATTCAGTAATGTGGCTGGATACAAAATCAATACGCAGAAACCAATAGCATTCCTATACATGAACAACAAAATCACAGAGAGGGAAATAAGAGAAACTATACTCTTCACATTAGCAAGCAAAAAATGAAATATTTAGGAATTACTCTTATGAAAGAAGTGAAAGACTTATACAGTGAAAATTATAATACACTGAAAAAAGAAATTGAAGATGATCTCAGAAAATGGAAAGACATCCCTTGCTCATGGATAGGAAGAACAAACATTGTGAAAATGGCTATTCTCCCAAAACTGTTATACAGTTTCAATGCAATCCCAATAAAAATACCATCAACATACCTTATAGATCTAGAGAAATCACTCCTAAATTTCATCTGGAACCAGAAGAGACCTAGAATAGCAAAGGCAATTCTAAGCAGCAAAGAC